TTTGTGTTTCTTCCATTTGCGAATAATCGCACCAACTGTTGTCACCTTTTCAACAAGCTGCTTGGCGATGGTCTTGTAACCCATTCCAGCCTTGTGTAGGTCTACAATCTTGTCCCTGACATCCTTGGAGAGCTCTTTGGTCTTGGCCATGGTGGAGAGTTTGGAATCTGATTGATTGATTGCTTCTGTGGACAGGTGTCTTTTATACAGGTAACAAACTTATATTAGGAGCACTCCCTTTTAAGAGTGTGCTCCTAATCTCAGCTCGTTACCTGTATAAAATACACCTGGGAGCCAGAAATCTTTCTGATTGAGAGGGGGTCAAATACTTATTTCCCTCATTAAAATGCAAATCAATTTATAACATTTTTGACATGCGTTTATCTGGATTTTGTTGTTGTTATTCTGTCTCTCACTGTTCAAATAAACCTACCATTAAAATTATAGACTGATCATTTCTTTGTCAGTGGGCAAACGTACAAAATCAGCAGGGGATCAAATACTTTTTTCCCTGTAAAAGTTGTACTACAATCTGTGACTTTCATCAAACCCAAAAGTGACTGATGTACCGGCTCTGATGCAATGCAGCATGAATTCATCTGTTTAATTCATAGGGGTCATGTAGATGTCCAGACAGACAGGCATGCAGACAGACATGCAGACAGGCATGCAGACAGGCATGCAGACAGGCATGCAGACAGGCATGCATGCCCTCCAGACTGCTGTGGGCTGTCAGCCAGTGTTGTGTTCTAATGAGAGAGTGACCTCCGAAAATGACCAACCTGGAACTCACAAACTCTAGCTGTCTGAGACCATCTGCACAATGTAGTTTTCTTGTGCTTGATCAAGATATTGCCATTCGTTATGGTAACAAAATGATGGTAACAATATTCCCGCTTGCAAGCGGCACAAAATTTGATCTAATGATAATCTAAGTCCTTGTGATGTGCTGTGTTCTCATGAATAGATAAAAACATAAATGATTTGACATTTTTCTGAGTTTCATGATGATGTAGCTATAAATTCTACCTACACTGATAATCATGTTCATCCTCGCTGCTCTCTGTGGGAGGAAGCTCTACAGACTGTGAGGGTCTCTATATTGTGTTACTCCAGCTGAGCAAACATTGAAAACAAGCCAGCGTTTTCTCAGCAAGGTCACTTCAGCCTGCTGTTTGCCATGATGACATCAGTGTTTGGTGGCAGTAGCTTTTTGGGCTGTACCCCGGAGCTCACAAACCCCCACCACCTCCCAACCCTAAACAAATGACACTATAGATGAAAGGCTCTAGGCTCTCAGTAATCTAAGGGGGTAGGGGTACTGTACAAGGTTGAGAGGGAGGATACCTACCCCAAAACTATAAGGCAGGACGGAAATCTGAATCTTACGTAGTAGGCCTCAGAGACAAGCTATAATCGCATGACTGTATTTGTACTTCATGACTAAATTACTTAAAACTCAAAGCAAAGTGGCTACTTTTTTCAGTCCAAAACACTGCTGTCTATTGAAGCCTTCACACATGCCTACACGGCTCACCTCTTTTCCACATGATTAACCATAGAGGTCCACTATGGCCCAGAGGTGTGTTGGGGGGCCTAGGCCAAGCCAAATGCATTATAATGTATACAGAACTGTACAGCCCGCCTAGAGCACAGGGTAAACATTTACCCTGCTATTACGACTGCTAATGAATTTGAAGTGAAAAGAGACACAGAACTGTGTTTTTTCGAAGTACACAGTGAATGCCATTACCTAAGTGGAGAGGCAATTACTTTTTCTGAGCTTTACATTTTTACAAGTATTTACTTGAAATAGGATTGTGTAAAATTATTTAATCTCATAGATTTTGCAGATTGTATGATGTTTAATTGAATACTGAAACTCATCATGCGGAATGCACACATCTCGTTTACCTTCATTGAGCATTGAAAAACTATGGAATCTAGTCCATTTCCCATAGACATACTGTACTGTTGTTGACAGTGTGGACAAAAAGACTTGAATGCATGCCATAGAAATATTGTTTTTGAATTCTTGTGGTCGTTTTTGTTATACACGAGACTAGACGCACATCTTGCACTCACTATTTCACAAAACTACAATCATGTTTTCTATTGTGGGCAAATATTGTTCTCTGTGCCGCAATGACTTTTCTATTACGCTGATAATTTTTCTGTTTCCAAGACTCGGGGGGAAACTGCTTATTGCACATATGGATAATAGGAAATCATTACCATAGGCGCTTGAAGATTTTATTTTACCTCAGCTTAAATGCTATCATGTAATTTCCACAGCATGCTATCGGTAATAATAGTCTCAGACTGAAAAATTCTCATTTCTCAATTCATGTCTCAATCTTTTAATAACAATATTCAATAAAAAATATGGGGAATTGGAAATGATGCAGACAACTAAATTGATGGAAGCCACAATCTATCTGCAATATTAAAGCTGATATACCCCCCTCCAAACACTATATATATATATATATATATATATATATATATATACATATATATATATATATATATATATATATATATATATATATATATATATACATACAGTGATGGAAAAAAGTATTTGATCCCCTGCTGATTTTGTACGTTTGCCCACTGACAAAGACATGATCAGTCTATAATTTTAATGGTAGGTTTATTTGAACAGTGAGAGACAGAATAACAACAACAAAATCCAGAAAAACGCATGTCAAAAATGTTATAAATTGATTTGCATTTTAATGAGGGAAATAAGTATTTGACCCCTCTGCGAAACATGACTTAGTACTTGGTGGCAAAACCCTTGTTGGCAATCACAGAGGTCAGACGTTTCTTGTAGTTGGCCACCAGGTTTGCACACATCTCAGGAGGGATTTTGTTCCACTCCTCTTTGCAGATCTTCTCCAAGTCATTAAGGTTTTGAGGCTGACGTTTGGCAACCTGAACCTTCAGCTCCCTCCACAGATTTTCTATGGGATTAAGGTCTGGAGACTGGCTAGGCCACTCCAGGACCTTAATGTGCTTCTTCTTGAGTCACTCCTTTGTTGCCTTGGCAGTGTGTTTTGGGTCATTGTCATGCTGGAATTACCCATCCATGACCCATTTTCAATGCCCTGGCTGAGGGAAGGAGGTTCTCACCCAAGATTTGACGGTACATGGCCCCGTCCATCGTCCCTTTGATGCGGTGAAGTTGTCCTGTCCCCTTAGCAGAAAAAACACCCCCAAAGCATAATGTTTCCACCTCCATGTTTGACGGTGGGGATGGTGTTCTTGGGGTCATAGGCAGCATTCCTCCTCCTCCAAACACGGCGAGTTGAGTTGATGCCAAAGAGCTCGATTTTGGTCTCATCTGACCACAACACTTTCACCCAGTTCTCCTCTGAATCATTCAGATGTTCATTGGCAAACTTCAGACGGCCCTGTATATGTGCTTTCTTGAGCAGGGGGACCTTGCGGGCGCTGCAGGATTTCAGTCCTTCACGGCGTAGTGTGTTACCAATTGTTTTCTTGGTGACTATGGTCCCAGCTGCCTTGAGATCATTGACAAGATCCTCCCGTGTAGTTCTGGGCTGATTCCTCACCGTTCTCATGATCATTGCAACTCCACGAGGTGAGATCTTGCATGGAGCCCCAGGCCGAGGGAGATTGACAGGTCTTTTGTGTTTCTTCCATTTGCGAATAATCGCACCAACTGTTGTCACCTTCTCACCAAGCTGCTTGGCGATGGTCTTGTAGCCCATTCCAGCCTTGTGTAGGTCTACATTCTTGTCCCTGACATCCTTGGAGAGCTCTTTGGTTAATTGAAATGCATTCCAAGTGACTACCTCATGAAGCTGGTTGAGAGAATGCCAAGAGTGTGCAAAGCTGTCATCAAGGCAAAGGGTGGCTATTTGAAGAATCTCAAATATAAAATATATTTTGATTTGTTTAACACTTTTTTGGTTACATGGTTCCATATGAGTTATTTCATAGTTTTGATGTCTTCATTATTATTCTACAATGTAAAAATAAAGGAAAACCCTTGAATTAGTAGGTGTGTCCAAACGTTTGACTGGTAGTGTATATTCCATAAGTACTTCTGTGAACAAAAGACGACGCCTTTTCTTTTGTCATATTTGGTGGGTGACCTTTTGAGCTCTATTTTATGTTATCCATAAAGCCTCTATGTAAATATTAATTATCTGACTTCATTTAAATGTATTTAACACTGTGCAAAATATTGTTAATTTAGTCTCCAATTACATTTTACATTTGAGTCATTTAGCAGACGCTCTTATCCAGAGCGACTTACAGTTAGTGAGTGCATACATTTTCATACTGGCCCCCCGTGGGAAACTAACCCACAACCCTGGCGTATGCAAGCGCCATGCTCTACCAACTGAGCTACAGGGGAGTGTTCTGTCAAAGAGACATTGTCATTGGATATTAACCCGAAACCACACCTATCCATAGAAATATATTTATGATCAGGATCTGAGTATTATGGTGCTGTGAGGAGCGACTGTGTAGCCGAGCCCTTCATGTCAACATCCTCCTCCTCAGATTAAGTTTTGCCCTCAGAGTAGCAAATGCAAATGTTGGGATCCCAGTCGTGGCAGAGATGAATGACTTAGTGCTGAGAGAGAGTGCAATGCAGTGGCTATAATTAAATAATCTTGGCTGATAATTAGCATTCATTAATTACCTGCACCAAGTCCTTCATCTCTCGCTGTGGTTTGTGAGGACATTTCCCGGCATCATAAATACCTTAGCAACATTCCATTGCGTTGCATTCTTTCAGCTCACAATAGTGGTGTTGAGTGAAGGAGAAATGATTGTCTTGTCCAGACAATGTGATATAGTAGGACTAACCTGTTTGGTTTTGCTGCTTTCAGTAGACCACAGGAAAAGTAGGAATATGCAAGACTGGCATCAGTTGTCCAAGGCTGCAGTAACACATTGCAGCGTTCTGGATGGATCAATTCAAATGCTAATGCATTCTAGGAATTGTGCCTGTGATCATGCTTTTCCCCACTGGTATAAATATTTTTAATGTAAGCTACAGTATGTGCAGTAGGCGGCATGAATGTAAACATGTATTCTTTCTATAGCCCAGGCACACACCATTTTACCACTCTCCTTTCTCTCTCTCTTGCTTACAGAGTTGCCCCAGAAGGGTAGTGATGAAAAAGTAGGGGAGTCCCTCTCAGACTCCTCCCTGTTTGTCCGCTGGGGTCATGACCTCGGTCCTGAGAGTCGTCGGGTGGCGCTGAAGAAGTTCCAGTACTACGGCTACAACGGCTACCTCAGTGACCGCCTCTCTCTGGCCAGACCCATCCCAGACCTCAGACCTGATGGGTACATGACCTTTGACCCTTTTGTTGGCTCCTTTTTATTGTCCATAAAAAAAAAAAAATCTGACAGAAGGTTCTTGTTCATATCTTGTCTGTTTGCTGTTTCTCCTCAGGTGCAGAAACATGTCGTACCCCACCAATCTCCCACAAGTAAGTATAATCTTTATCTTTGTGAACGAAGCCCTGTCGGTCATCCTGCGCTCCATCCACACCGCCATGAACAGGACTCCCTCCCACCTCCTTAAGGAGATCATCCTGGTCGATGACAACAGCAACAATGGTAACTCCTATATTCCTTCTAAATGTAGCCTACAAAGTATACACACTGCATTGTAAACAGGAATCCATTCAGACTGCTTACTATCTTAAATTAAATAACTTCTAAATCCAGGAAGTAACACAACAAAATGTGGAAAAAGTCAAGGGGTGTGAATACTTTCTGAAAGCACTGTGTATCCATTCACACTTGACATGCTTGAGGACCGACAGTACATCAGGAGTTTCTCTATAATCTTATTACTGGTAATAAACTCATAATGTATCTTACCCCATACACATTTACAATATCTTTTTAAAATGTGTTGGTGTTGCCTGCCAATTTAATGGATTACTTTCACACGGCTCCGAATTAAGTCATTTGTTAGGCTAGTTATTTCCGCAGGACCGACCTGTATACTGATCAGCTATAGAGCCAGAGGGAAGTGAGAAGATTTAAAAGCTCTATTTTACCTAGACTGATAATTTGTATGAAGGTGTTTTAGCTGCATACTTTACTGAACATATCTGTTGAGATGACAAATGAGGGTCAAAAGAGTCTGGCAGAGGGATTAAAAAAACTGACTGATTCTTTTGAATTGATATTTTTATTAAGGCCTCCAATTTCAGGATGTAAATGTTGAATCATTACATTAAAAAAAGAGGAACTTCTGTAATGTAAATTAATTGGAAAACGGAGCTGTATAGCTGAGATGCAGAGTATTGCTGAGAGTGGAAATGAAGCTGTAAAAGTTTCCTTTATGACCATTGGTATTCTAATTAATTCCTTGGCAGTTGGCTCACTTTGAACAATGCGACTCTTCCCGTCTGTACAGTTTCAGGAGTCTGGCTAACGGCTCCCCATCCTGAGTGGGGTGTCTCATAGGGTCAGCTGGGATTACTTCCCATGACAATCCAATTAACCAAATCGACCTTAGTCCTCTTATTTGTCCTCTTCATTTCTTAACGAGTTAAATTACTGTATTTTCACCGCTAACTATTGCTGGATATTACTTGGTTAATCCTAATCAGTTCATGGTTGAATAATCAATATTGTCATAAAGAACATGTCTGAAAGCCATTGTCCCATGAAGTGTCTCAGCTAACTCCCCAACACTACTGTAATGAAAACAGACATTGATGTCCAGTCCTCGCCCTTCATGTCCCAATCACTCCATCTGGTTGCCATGGTGAGACACTGCCATGACCACCTAGCAAATTAAAACAAACAGATGGCAGATGGAGCTTGTGGGAAAGTAGAATTGACTTCCCTCAACCAGACGATGCTGATAGACATCAATAATAGGATATTTCCAGAGGACCTTTCACAACCGCAATAGTATTTATTTGAAATCCCATTTACACTGTGGAATAAATAGAACTTGGGACTGTAAAGCACTTTTCAAATGTGTAGTTAGAGTCAATAGTCCAAGGTACATACAGTGGGGAGAACAAGTATTTGATACACTGCCGATTTTGCAGGTTTTCCTACTTACAAAGCATGTAGAGGTCTGTAATTTTTATCATAGGTACACTTCAACTGTGAGAGAGGGAATCTAAAACAAAAATCCAGAAAATCACATTGTATGATTTTTAAGTAATTAATTTGCATTTTATTGCATGACATAAGTATTTGATCACCTACCAACCAGTAAGAATTCTGGCTCTCACAGAACTGTTAGTTTTTCTTTAAGAAGCCCTCCTGTTCTCCACTCATTACCTGTATTAACTGCACCTGTTTGAACTCGTTACCTGTATAAAATACACCTGTCCACACACTCAATCAAACAGACTCCAACCTCTCCACAATGGCCAAGACCAGAGAGCTGTGTAAGGACATCAGGGATAAAATTGTAGACTGCACAAGGCTGGGATGGACTACAGGACAATAGGCAAGCAGCTTGGTGAGAAGGCAACAACTGTTGGCGCAATTATTAGAAAATGGAAGTAGTTCCAGATGACGGTCAATCACCCTCGTTCTGGGGCTCCATGCAAGATCTCACCTCGTGGGGCATCAATGATCATGAGGAAGGTGAGGGATCAGCCCAGAACTACACGGCAGGACCTGGTCAATGACCTGAAGAGAGCTGGGACCACAGTCTCAAAGAAAACCATTAGTAACACACTACGCCGTCATGGATTAAAATCCTGCAGCGTACGCAAGGTCCCCCTGCTCAAGCCAGCGCATGTCCAGGCCCGTCTGAAGTTTGCCAATGACCATCTGGATGATCCAGAGGAGGAATGGGAGAAGGTCATGTGGTCTGATGAGACAAAAATATAGCTTTTTGGTCTAAACTCCACTCGCCGTGTTTGGAGGAAGAAGAAGGATGAGTACAACCCCAAGAACACCATCCCAACCGTGAAGCATGGAGGTGGAAACATCATTCTTTGAGGATGCATTTCTGCAAAGGGGACAGGACGACTGCACCGTATTGAGGGGAGGATGGATGGGGCCATGTATCGCGAGATCTTGTAAGAGTAAGAGCATTGAAGATGGGTCGTGGCTGGGTCTTCCAGCATGACAACGACACGAAACACACAGCCAGGGCAACTAAGGAGTGGCTCCGTAAGAAGCATCTCAAGGTCCTGGAGTGGCCTAGCCAGTCTCCAGACCTGAACCCAATAGAAAATCTTTGAAGGGAGCTGAAAATCCGTATTGCCCAGCGACAGCCCCGAAACCTGAAGGATGGGCCAAAATCCCTGCTGCAGTGTGTGCAAACCTGGTCAAGACCTACAGGAAACGTATGATCTCTGTAATTGCAAACAAAGGTTTCTGTACCAAATATTAAATTACATAAAAATCATACAATGTGATTTTCTGGATTTTTGTTTTAGATTCCGTCTCTCACAGCTGAAGTGTACCTATGATACAAATTACAGACCTCTACATGCTTTGTAAGTAGGAAAACCTGCAAAATTTCACAGGTGCAGTATATTATAAGACATAATGAGAAATACCTACACACTGTTTCAAGGCTTCCCAGAGTTTCATTCAACAATGTTTCAGCCACTCTGGTTCTTTGTAAAGGTCAGACAGACAGACTCTGTAAAACTTCTCTCCCTTTTTCTCTCTTTCTGTACTGTATGTGTCTCTCTATTAATGTTTATATAGCTGAGCTGAAGGAGAACCTGCAGAACTTTGTGAAGGAAACCAACTCCCAGCGGCCAGACTTCATCAAGGTGGTCCGCCACGACAAGCAGGAGGGGCTGATCCGCTCCAGGGTCAGTGGGTTGGAGAGCCTCCAGTGCCCCCGTTGTTGCCCTGTTTGATGCCCACGTGGAGTTCAACATCGGATGGTAAGGGACTGGGATGCCACGTGTATGTTCCAATCTATCCAACAGCTAAAAACATTTCATGTCTATTTATGATCTTTGCTGTATGAATATGCAAGACTGGTATAATTGATAAGTGCTGCATTTTCTCAGTAATGACTTAATATAGCTATTACATAACTGTGATAGATGAGAGGGTTGTCAGAATAATATAATATGTGACTGCCCTCAGCTCAGGAGTGCTGACATGCTGCTGACTGGAGTTGAGATATGTTGTTCATGGCAACGTAGTGTATCAGGGCTTTCTGTCGTCTGACAGAGTTTATGTGCCTGTTAATCATTCTCTCCACAGCTTGACCGGTCGACCGACCGACACGTATATCTCTGAAGAGCCTGGGCTCAATCCCAAAAAAACTCCACTCACTCCTGAGGTGCTTTGGCACAGATCTCAGAACAGACATTTCGGAGGCCTCCTCACTCCTCCCAGCTACCCGATTTTGTGTCTTCGACTAATTAAATCATTTGGTTCAATGCGACTGCAGTGCTTGAAAAGGAGAGTGCATGAGGCTCTCAGCCTGTCTTTTATGCACACAAACATGTTGGCTATTCATATTAACATTGATCAGAGGCCTTTTTGTACAGAACAAGTCTGATGCTATTTGTGCGGTGTCTGCTGATGACCTGTCATTTTCCCAATGTAATTCCATACGTATTTGTGGAGCTCTAACGTTGTTATTTTAAATGATTGATTGAAAAATGGCTGTCATTAAACAAGAGAGGGTGACTGACTGCTATATTTATTTATCACATCAGTCTACTCTACATTCAATTATCAGGAACTGTGCACATTTTGTCTAATACCAGTTAAGTGCCAGTCAGCAACATATTTTCTGTCTATCTTGATGTGTACTATCTGGTCTATAATGGAAAACTCAAAACACCTATGTAGAAGACTTCAAATGACCTTTAGTGAGTAGAACTACGCTGAAGAAAAATATAAACGCAACATGCAACAATTTCAAAGATTTTACTGAGTTACAGTTCATATAAGGAAATCTGTCAAATGAAAAAAATATATATTAGGCCCTAATCTATGGATATCTAGAGATATGCATCTGTTGTTCACAGATTCAATTAGATTTTTCAAAGTGAATAAACATTTATAGAACATTTTACAAATGAATTTAAAAAAGTTAATAATTGGTGAAGCACCTTTGGCAGCCATGAACACAACTGTGAATAATTTTGAATACAATTTTACCAACCTTGCACTACTCTTATTAGGGTAACATATAGCCATCGTTTTTTATCAACATTGCTCAAGCTCAGTAAATTTGTTTGGGAATCATTGATTGGTTCCGTGTGGCTCAGTTGGTTGAGCATAGCGCTTGCAATGCCAGGGTTGTGGGTTAGATTCCCATGGGGGACCAGAATGGAGAAAAAAAATACGAAAATGTCTGCACTGTAAGTCACTCTGGATAAAAAGCATCTGCTAAAATGTATGGACAAGAATATTCAAACCTTGTCTCTGATTTTCAAGCATATTTAAGTCAGGACTGAGACTGGACCATTTCAGGAACACTCACCAAATCTTGGAAAGTCATTCTGGTTTGCCTTTGGCATTAAAATGTGTGTAATTGTCCCGTTTAAAAATAAAACTATTCCAGTGTTAGGTTTTTAGAAGACCACAGTGGGTTTTGCTTGAACTTTTTACCTGGGCTTTGCTTCTTTCATATTTATTTTGATCCTGACATACTCCCCAGTCCCTTCCGGTGACAAGCATACCCATAACATGATGCTGCCACCACAATACGCAACAATACAATATTGTTGTCCATCAATGTTTCCCAACCAAATTTACTGAGCTTGAGCAATTTTGACAGAAACAATGGATATACAGTATGTGATATCTTATATACTGAACAAAAATATAAACAACATGTAAAGTATTGTTCCCATGTTTCATGAGCTGAATGAAAAGATCCTGTGGGATCGTCTGAGACCAGCCACCCGGACAGCTGATGAAACTGAGGAGTATTTCTGTCTGTAATAAAGCCCTTTTGTGAGGAAAAACTAATTCTGATTGGCTGAAACTAATTCTGATTGGCTGGGCCTTGCTCCCCAGTGGGTGGGCCTGGCTCCCAAGTGGGTGGGCCGATGCCCTCCCAGGCCCATCCATGGCTGCACCCCAGCCCAGTCGTGAAATCCATAGATTAGAGCCTAATTTATTTATTTCAATTGACTGATTTCCTTAAATGAACTGTAACTCAGTAAAATCGTAGAAATTGTTGCGTTTATATTTTTACTTAGTATAAATTATTCACAGCAGTAATGGCTGCCAAAAGTGCTTCCACCAAGTATTAACTCTGGGGTTTGAAGAAATATGCAATCAGGACATGGGGGGTGGGTTGGGGGTGTTGTACAATTTTCTTTCACTTTGAAAATATGAAGTAGGTTGTGTAGATCTGTAGGGAAAAAGATCTAATTTAATCCCTTAAAAAAAAATGAAAGGCAGCAAAATGTGAAGACTGGGCAGGGGTGTATAGACTTCCACTAGGCACTCAATGTTGTGATAAGAAGTGTATTTCCTTAACTGTGGCTTTTACTCATGTCTGGATTGTGATTTGACATACAGTACATGGCCATATCTAGCCAACCTAATTTGTTTCCCTCACCAAATTAACACATCTCAAACTCAGAATCGGCTTGATATCCTGTGTGTGGCCCGGGACACTGGAACCTATAGCCATAGGGCGAGATTCCGTAATGAGCCAATAATAATTAGTGGCCGGGTTGAAATACCCACATTCCCACTGTTTCCCCATATCTTCTGTGATGTTAAGGAAGTTATAAAAAATGCGTGGTGATCGTAGCTTATGTGTTCTCCCTCATATTGTTTTAATTGAAAAATACACAAAATGTATCTCACAGCAACACAATGTCCCATCATGCCTTGTGTCTTCCCTACAGGGCCGAGCCCATTCTTCTCAGGATCAAGGAGGACAGAACCCGCATTGTCTCGCCGTCGTTTGACAACATCAAGTATGACACGTTTGAGATCGAGGAGTATCCGCTGTCTGCTCATGGCTTTGACTGGGAGCTGTGGTGTCGCTACCTGAACCCGCCCAAAGCCTGGTGGACCCAGTACAACCACACCGCCCCTATCAGGTCACTGTCAGCATAGACTTAGGAATCAACTGTTGTCTTGTGCTATTTTACAGGCACTGTGTTGCATTGAAGAATCCACACAATTTTGTGTCTGTGGCTTATTCTATTTGATTTTAATAACATGTAAGAACAATGTGTGCGAACCTGTTGCATCAGTTTGATGTAGATCTCCTGGTTGTTTTTAGACAGCCGTTACTTAGAAACGTGGGAAATCCTCATTCTTGACGACAAATAAAAGGAATAGGCAAACAACCTTGTAGGTTTATTATTGAAAACATTTAACAATAAATCAAATGTGAAAAATCTTCGGCTGAGCACAGAGGTGTTACAAATACGCTAGGAAGTACTAGGAAGTAGTTCATAGAACCACAGCTCATAATTGACTGTTTCTCTCTCTTTTTGACATCTTTGTACCAGGAGCCCAGCTCTTATTGGCTGTTTTGTGGTGGACAGGAAGTACTTCGAGGAGATTGGCCTATTGGATGAGGGGATGGAGGTGTATGGTGGAGAGAATGTGGAGCTTGGCATCAGGGTGAGTGGAGTCCAAATTATAATCAGCTCAGTAGTATGCCAAATCCTAACTTGAGATCGGTCCCCCATTGACATCTATGGTAACAAAGAGTCACTAACAGCAACCAAAACAAAACAAGTGGGGTTCTAAAAGACACTCATGGGGGGTGTCCACTGAAAGTTGACAAGCAACGACAACTGGGAACTAAGACACCCACCATGAGCGCCCACTAAATTTGCCCAAGAAGAGGCAAATAAAATGAAAACCCACAACAAACTTAGACAGGAAGCAAACCAAAAAGTGGAGCAAAACAAAAACAGGGAAGAAAAGATAAAGGATTGTTTTTTTTAAATCAAAATGGAGAGAGCCAGCTAAAGGTGTTAACCCTCCACTTCTCTCAAGCCAACTGGAGCACTGTGCCAGCCGCTCTTAAATATCCCCTGTGCCAGTACAGGTGAAACGTCTTCTGACTAACGAGATGACAAGCCAGCACAGGGTAACACATACTAACGAGGTGACACCAATCAGTGCGCCTAAGGTCCAAACTTTTCCAATGGAAAAACCAAAACCTGTAACAATAATTTACACAACTTGAGTTACGTACAAACCCGGAATCTCAAGTTAGGATTTGGCCCATATTGACGACTCTTGGACTCATTAGTGTGTGTAATAATCTGCAGCTGCTGTATGTGAGTACCTGGAGGATACAGCCAGTCAGCTCAGCCTTCCTCCAGATGGGCCATGAGGGGAGCTGCAGTGTGCCAGGGAATACCCCAAAGCGAGCTGACATTCACCCAGCTCAGCGACTTGTACACTTCCATAGAGCTGAAAGTATATCAAACAAACCCTTAGAAATGACTATGGGACATGCATGCACACTCCACATTAGTGAGACAGACACAATGGGTCTTGTGTGGATATCTGTGCCTCCTTTCCCTTGTAGCTTTGTGGTCCTGCAGCATCAGGAGGGAAGGGAACAGCCTACTCTTTGGGAGGAGTAAAAACTCCCTTCAAGACTGGGTGTTAATAGAATGATAATGGGTCAGAGCAGCTGTGGTTCAAGATGTCACTCCATAGGCTGTATCTTACAGTAGCTTTTCTGATTGGCTACCTTTATCCTGCAGAAGGGAGAAATGTGCTCTATAGCAACTATATTGATTTATGTATTGCATTATGGACCTGGCTGAATGGGAAATACTTATTGTGTGGAAATATGGCAAAAGTTCAAGGACTGTCTAGATAATCCTATTGAGACTGAAATGATGGTATAACAAATCCATTGAATTGGTGGTTCATCAAGATCACAAGTATGCTGGAGTGACTTTTCAATACAGTACGGCAAAAGTTCAGGGACCGATTTTAGTGTTGAGTGTATGGCCAACTTGAAATCCTCTATAGAATGGCTTATCTGCACTCTCTTAACAGGATCTATATGTGCGAGTGCATACGTAATGTTGCAGATAACAGACATCAAGTCATGGATCATCAGTGTTGTTGTCAATTATTATGTAAATGAGGCGTTTTCTTGACAGAATCAGGAACTGCACATCTGTCCACGGGGCATAACATCCCCCGTAATGAATAGTTGTATTTAGGCCCGCCAAAACAAGGGATGGGATTTTTCTGTCTTTCTACAGATGCTTCCTCCCTGGTACCCAATAACCACATGCTGTGCTTTAATAAATACTTCATTTATAGATCTATCTTCATTATATTTGTGTTTATTTACTGCCATTAGATTATTTTAGTATTTTATCTCAGCATGAAGACTTTTCACAATTTACAACACATTTGTTAGTTAGCCCCCACTCAACATCTCAATTAGCAAACTTTTATTTTGAGTTCCTGACCAAGTTGTGTGTTTAGTTTATGACAATGAACGTGTGGGTAAAACTATTTAGCACTCATAATAACTGATATATTTCTAGTCTCAGCCACTATTCTTCATACCTTCCACACGCCACAGCCAGGTGTAATGTTGTCTGCAGATATAGTTGTCTCTAGTCCAAAATAGTAGGCATGTGCCCCATATAATCCCCATGAGTGATTTTCCTCTAAGAGAAAGAAAAGGGAGAGTTCTTGGGGGCTCTACTCAGACATGTACTTAAAAAAGGATGGAAACCTGATTACTGACTTCCTTATTTTATCTAACCCTGTGTGTACTACTGAGCTCTGAACACTTCCAGGGCTATAACTCAGCTTCCTACCTATTTTTTTAAATATTTTATATGGACAATGTGTGTAACTTCAGGTATGGCAGTGTGGGGGCAGTGTGGAGGTCCTGCCCTGTTCTCGGATTGCGCATATCGAGCGTGCTCACAAGCCCTACACTCAAGATCTGACTGCTCATGTGCGGCGGAATGCACTGAGGGTGGCCGAGGTGTGGATGGACGAATACAAGAACCACGTTTACATGGCCTGGAACATTCCTCCACAGGTAAAGACCACAGCCTCCTGAGTTATTCCTGAAAATGCGACCTGACCAGGAAAACTCAAGGCCCTAGTCATTTCACAGTCTAAATGTGTATTCCATATACATGTTCTATGTCAAAAATAAGTTGTCATGTGGGTATCCTTGTGTTGGTGTGTCTCTTTCTAGGACTCAGGGATTGACATAGGGGACCTCACGGAGAGGAAGGCTTTGAGGAACAGACTGCAGTGTAAATCTTTCAGGTGGTTCTTGGCCAACATCTACTCTGAGATGAGAACCTACAGTGACACCGTTGCTTATGGAGTGGTGACTATGTTATAACTGTGCTCAGCATTGTCTCTGTTGTGTTTCATGTATTAAAGTCCCTTTTCATCTTGCGAAATCTAGAGGCATTTTGTAATCAAAAAATTGCATCTGAGGACTAGTTTATCATCATTATACTGACAATGTCAGTCATAAAAAGTCATGCTATAGTGTGCATGTAATTTGAGGCAAAAATGTGCATACTGTACATGCTGAAACAATCTTTTGTAATATGTTAATGAGAACATAAAACATTACTATCCTAGGAGTCCATTTCAAGCCACAGCTTATGGACATAACTCCATTGAAGCAATGAAAGGTTGATAAAAATAGGTCAGTTTTATTCAAACATGAGTAATGAAACGGTCCAAAAATGACCCGCCCACCCCTCTAATGCTTTGCTTGGTTGTTTGATGAGCACTTCAAATCACAACTGTGTTAGAATTATTTTATGCCAAATCATGACACTACTGAGCATGTGTGGGAGTCAAGCTGTGAATATGATTACAACTTGGTGAAACACATATGAAGAATACATATTTGACAAGGATGTGATCACTAAATCTCACATGATTGTTCTCTGAAAACTGATACTCTGAAGTGCACTGTTGAGATTGATATTAACAAGGATATTACATTTACATTTTAGTCATTTAGCAGACGCTCTTATCCAGAGCGACTTACAGTTAGTGAGTGCATACTTTCTTTTTTCATACTGGTCCCCCGTTTGAAACGAACCCACAACCCTGGCGTTGCAAACGCCATGCTCTACCAACTGAGCTACACGGGACTACTATATTATTCCACAATAATTTCTTGATAAATGACAGAATATAGAAAAATACATAAGGCGTAGTAGAAAAGTGCATTTGTTATTTATTTTTGTAGCTGTAGCTCTAAACCCTGCTCCAAACTGCATTTTCAAATTTCTCCTGACTCAATTTGTGGTCAAACAGATGCTGCAGGACTATTTTTGTCACAATTATTTAGTGGAAAAACATAGTTCTTCCCTTGTTGATGCGAGGATAATGGAAAACAATTGTTTACACTATTGTGTTATGTTTTTCGAGGCAAACAGTAATTAGCCTAAAGTGCTTCCATTTGTCAAACTGTTCATCACACAAACCAGTTGTGTGCTGTGTCATTCTATTGTTAAAGGACCAATTATCCGTTGTCGTTTGCCAGATGGAAGAAGGCAGAGCTTAAGGGCAGATTGTCCATTAAGGAGCCTCTGGATTCTTAATCCATCTCTGTCCCTCCTCCCTGGTTATTGCATTATTTTCCTCCTCTCGGTCTGTCTCTTCCAGTTAAAGAACATGCTGAGGAATGACCTGTGTCTAGACCAGGGGCCTGATTCAGACAACATCCCCATCCTGTACCTCTGTCATGGGATGACACCACAGGTGAGTGCCCTCTGACCCCTCTATCTGTAAGGTCACTCCCAACTCTGTCCTGGTCCTAACATATACACCACAGCAATTATTACTGGATCTTTTCCCCCACTTCCAAAAGAAGATCCTTGCTCTAACTATGACTCAAGCTATTCATCCTTGTTTCCTTGTCCGTTGAATGTAAAAGCTCTTGGAAAAGGTATTAGTGTTTTTCAATGCCTTGTGCTTTTATACTACTTGTCCCTTTTACCTCTTGGTAATGTGCTGGATTTTAAAGCAAATAAACAATGAATGTCTGACCGTCTATATATTCACATTGCATAATTCATAATTGCAACAAGACAGTCTAGTACTACATCTTGTTGAGATTTTTGAGGACACTATGTTCCCCTATTGTCAGAGAAGTCAATATAATCGACTGGTGCCTGAAATGTTAAACCCTTGATATCTATCTATCTATCAATCTATCAATCAATCAAGTCTATCTATCTTACATCTCCAAACTGCTGCACTTTTATGTTTCACTGTCATATACATACATTTTCAGTTTTCACTGAGACGTACATTTGACTCATGATAGATAATCGAATTATTATGCATAACACTTTCACATTATTTAATTTTTTTTGCTGAAACCCAAGATATGAGATTATCAATTGCGAAGGTGCTGAAGTCCAAAATGCAGTTTAGTTCTAGACAGTAACTACAGGAATGTAGAATACAAAACGGAGATTATGTTTTTCATTGGGTATTCAGGCTGAATCCATGAGTGTGTAAGCCTATACAAACTATCAGAGCATTATCTGGGTATGGATGGAGGTGAAAGGTGGTGAATGTCAGGGACCATGAACCAGCAACCAATCAGAGTAATGGCTTGTCTACTATGGAGGAGGTAGAAGAGTATTTCCTGTGGGAACAGATGGTCTGCCATGCACCAGGAAATTCTCCCCTCCAGTAGCGGTGTGTGGGTAAAATCACTGGGGAAGCCAGAAAAAAAGCAATTTTACAACTTATGTGTTGTGATAATTTTGTTGTTTGCTCTATAACCTACTTGTTCATATGCCTTGCCACTGTGATATATAGGCCTAAGGCCGAGACAATAAGAAGACACAGTGGCAGAGTAAATTCAACCACACCTTTTTGTTTCATCACAAAACCAGAGAGCAAACTCTGTCCGGTGAAGTCCACAAAGCATTTTGCATGTAACAAACAGTTACTTGACCTACAGCATGGTCAATCAAGTTAATATTACCCCCTAAAAAAACTACCCTTTTTGATTTTGTTCATTATAAGACATATTGTTTGGAACAACGTACTTTACAAGTACATCACACTTCCAGAATGGGCTCTCTGCTAATTCTGAAGTTATGATAAATGTTATGAGCACCACCAACACATTGATTGGTAAATAGATTCAAAAGGAACCCCCTATGCTGGTGATTTGCTGAATGAGCAATCCTAAAGGAGGGTTGTGATTGGTTAATAACCTATTATGTCAATTTCGATGTATAACATTTGTTATATCATTAAAAGTACCAGAGAGCCCACTCTGAAAATGTGATGTGTTTGAAGAGTATATTGTTCCTAACAATTTGTTTAAAAATAATCAAAATCAAAAAGGGTAGTTAAGATAATAATATTTTTGAATTGAATAATTGAATATGAAACGTTTATTTCAGAATCTAGACATACTCCATATTTGAGAGAACATTATAAGGAGTATAATGACACCAAGATGTTGTTTGTATAATGTACGGTTCACAGGGTCTTATAGGAAGCATGTATAGGTCTAAAGAGGGCTAAAATGGCCACTTTTATTTTAGAAAAAAATGGTTTGTGATACAAATGTAAAAAGCATGTCAAACATCCTTCCACCCAATTAAGTTTATGTGTATCACGTTTCAGGAGAAGATCCAGATGCAGACAGTGTCGAAGTAACAAAAGTTTATTACAAAAACAGGGGGCAGGCAAACGACAGGTCAAGGGCAGGCAGAGGTCAGTAATCCAGATCAGAGTCCAAAAGATACAGAACGACAGGCAGTCTCAGGGTCAGGGCAGGCAGAGGTCAATAATCCAGGGTGGTGTGACAAGATACAGAACGGCACGCAGGCTCAGGGTAGGTAGAATGGTCAAAACTAGAAAACAGGAGACAAAGGGCTGTGAGACATGGGTTTGATCCTAGACACATGAAAAGTGGGATGTATACGGAGGGTACAGAAGACGAACAGCAGAGGGGCTAATGATCTTGGTGATGGGGAAAGAGCTGATAAACCGGGGGGAAAGTTTGTGGGATTCCACCCGGAGGGGCAGATCTCGGGTAGACAGCCATACCTTCTGCCCGAGACGATACCGGGGAGCCGGGGTCCGGTGGCGGTCCGCTTGTCGTCGATACCTGGAGGTGGTCTTGAGAAGAGCCAACCGGGCTCTCCTCCAGGTACGACGACAGAGGCGGACAAACATCTGGGCCGAGGGTATGCCGTGTTGAGGGCATATTCGACCCACACTAGTTGCTGGCTCCAGGTGGTGTGGTTGGCAGAGACCAGGCAGCGCAGAGTTGTCTCCAGGTCTTGGTTGGCTCGCTCCGACTGGCCGTTGGACTGAGGGTGGAAACCGGAGGACAGGCTGGCCAACGACCCAATGAGTGTGCAGAACGCCTTCCAGAACCGGGACAAGAACTGAGGACCCCGATCGGAGACCATGTCCACTGGGAGTCCATGGATCCGGAAGACATGCTGCACCATGAGCTGGGCCGTCTCTTTAGCGGAGGGTAGCTTGGGGAGAGGAATGAAGTGGGCGGCTTTGGAAAACTGGTCCACAACTGTCAGGATGGCGGTGTTGCCATCAGACAGGGGAAGACCTGTGACAAAGTCCAGGGATATGTGAGACCAGGGACGGTGAGGAACCGACAGAGGTTGGAGGAGACCAGCCGGAGCTTGCAGAGGAGTCTTGTTCTGCGCACAGATCGTGCAGGCGGCGATGAACGCGGAGACGTCAGGAACCATGGTAGGCCACCAAAAGAGTTGTCGCACAAAGGCCAGGGTCCGACGGGAGCCCGGGTGGCAGGCAAGCCTGGAGGAGTGGGCCCACTCCAGGACCGCGGAGCGGACTGCGTCAGAAACAAACATCCGGTTATCTGGGCCCCCCCCTGGGGTTCGGCTGAGAACGCTGCTCCTCCCGGACCTGCTTCCCTATTCCCCAACTGAGTGCCGTCGCCAAGCACAAAGACAGGTAAAACAGATCAGGGTGTGACAATGTGAGAATTGCTAAAACAACAATCTGAGATACCTAAAATATTTTTGGCTTCCGCTAGCATGGAATCGCCCCATTAGAACTGGTGTTACCTAGGAGACCAGACCCTCTAGACTGTGTGGAGATATGGAGAAAATCCCAATTGGCACTGCACTGGGTGGGAGAAACACTTTAGGGATCCATATTTCTTATCAAAGGATCTTATCAAAGAGCACTCTACAGGTTACTGCAGAGAGTGGAAGGGAGACCTAAGTACAGAAAAACATTGAAAGAAATGTGTAATTCTGTCTTGACTGGTTTGATCTATACTGTAGTACTAAAGGTGGTTGTTTTCAGTCATCTCAGTTATACTTGTTGAAAGATACTTTGTCATTTTTGCTAATTCACTTTAGTTGCATCGATATGATATATCTATTTGTGTGAAATTAATTTCAAAATGAAGGATTGAGAGTTGGCTCGGATAATAGACCACCATTTCTTCCTTGCCTAGCATATTAACAGAAAAGCGACTGTCAGGAGGAGAAAGATATAGGGTTTACATTTGCAATGAAGTCCTTGCTGAGTTAATTGAAGAGGGATTAGTAAATGTTGGCTGTGTAATGTACAAATCCTATTTTCTTACAGTTACTAGATTCCTACACACACACAAACACACACACATTTTGTTCTTCTATCCTCGTGGGGACCTAAAATAGATTTCCATTCAAAATCCTATTGTCCCTAACCCTAACCTTAACCCTAACCTTCATACTTTGGGATTTTGGCAATGAGGCCCTTTGATCTACTTTCACAGAGTCAGATGAACTTGTGGATACCTTTTTTATGTCTCTGTCCAGTAAGAAGGAAGTTAAAGATTGTTTCGCCAGCCAATACTAACTAGCATTAGCATAATGACTTCCAGTCATTGCGCTTACAGTACACTAGTTAGCAATTGCGCTAGCGCTAGTTAGCAACTTCCTTCAAATTGCACGCAGAGACATAAAAATAGTATCCACGAGTTCATCTGACTCTGGGGAAGTAGATTTCCAAAATCCCTTTATCCCTTTAACCCATAACCCAAACCCTAAACCTAACTCCTAAGCCTAACCACTAAACCCCTTACCCTAATTCTAACCCTAAACCTAACCCCTAAGCTTAAAATAGCCTTTGTCCTCATGGGGATGTGGGAAATGTCCCCATGAGGGAGAATTTGCCTTGTTTTACTATCCTTGTGGGGACTTTTGGGGGATTGTAGGTCCCCACAAGGATATAAGAACCAACACACACACACACACAATTCTTGACATTAACCTAATGAAGCATCATATGTATCTCAGTAATAGAAAGCAGGAGCTCCTGTGTCATCAACTTCAGCCTGCTGAAAAACAAAGAGGAACATTACTAATGTGCTCTCTGCTAACATAAGGGGCTTTTGTTCTAGCCCATCGCTCTGAATTACTTTCCGTCTCTCTGTTATTCCAGAATTGTTATATTTAACAGAAACGTTCCATCGGGAGGGAGGCTCTTCTCGTGTAGAGAGGCCTTTGTTCCACACGGCTCAGTATAAAAATGTAGAAGTCATTTTCGATGAATCTAAAAGGGACTGAAATGCTGTGGTATTGGTAACAATATGAGTGTAGGCCAGAATAAGTGTATTGAAATCTTAAAGATATTGGAAATCATATATTCATATGCTTCTGTAATAGTATTGTCTGTGCAGATAGATTGGCTTGTGCAGTGCATTTGGAAAGTATTCAGAGCCCTTCACTTTTTCCACATTTTGTTACGTTACAGCCTTA